GTTATAAGTAGGAAAAAGAATTATTAAAAGCTTCTGTAGTTAGGGAGGAAAAGAGATGCTGTAAGGAGGGAAAGATATGCTGGAAACACTGTGCAATATTACTATAAAAGCAACATATGCCTAAATCCTTGTGTTAATGTACCTTGGTAAACAAAGTCACTCGTCCACACATAAAGGACTGTCTGCAGTTACAATATTAGGAGCACGGAGTGATTAGAGGCTCTGAGCCACCAGTGCAACTCAACTGACTAACTGCAAACTCAATCTTGAAATTTCAGGGCTGGTGCATTGCTTTTTTTCATTCACCTCAAACCATTGATTCCTCTTGACATCTGTGAGGGCTGTGGAGGCCGGTGGCTGCAGTGCTGCTGCCAACAGCACTCCCACCCTAGGTCACCAACCTAGGTCCTCCTGGGACCATGCCGCTGGCTTTGTGCCAGACCCAGGGTGCCTAAAATGCTCTGAGTATGTCTAGTGCACCTGCACTGACACCTCCTGAGTGCCACGTGGACGTGGCATTGAGTGGTGGAGAGGGCAAGGAAGGAGTGTCAGCTCATGAGGAGTACCAGAGGGAAAACGAGCTCTGAATCAGTGAAAAGAGGACAGCTCATATGCACTAGCAGCTGCAGGACGGATCAAGACAACAAGTGGAAGCTGGGATAGGTCAAAAAGATGGAACCAAAAAGTCTGAGTGAGGAGATTTACTTGGGAAAAGAGAGTTTGAAACACAGGGTGAGACATGGGAAGGAAAAAAAGAATCAGGAGGAAAAAGTAGGGAAGGAGATCGAGGGGAGACTAGGCAGGAGGCAGGTTGTTGTACAGGATGGGGCTGAGATGAGAGAAGCAGCTCCTGAAGCAAACATCTAGAAGCAGAGCAGTGAGAGGAAAGGATGAGGAAAAAGGAAAGGGGAGAGGGGGGGAGGAGAAGTCTGATAAATAATGGATTTTCACGTTTTACTCAAACACCTTGGATTTATTCAAACAGTGGGACCCTTGTCACAAGCCCTTAGCCCCAGCCAGACATGGCCATGCCATGTTCCTGGGGTCCTGCCGGGTTGTCTCCTGCTTAGATCTGGGCTGTGCCTGCTCCTGAGGTGGGACTGGTACAAAAGTGGGCTTTGCCAGTAAAGCTATACTGACAACGGGAATAGTCTGCACTGGTCTGGAATAGCATGGCATGCTGTCCCTATGTAATAGATGACCTCATAGAAAAGCATTATGCACACATAGCTGAGCTGAGCTGCCCCACCATTGGCTGCGGACAGTATCCATGTCAGCAACTAATGTACAAAGAGTTCATTTTCAGATGCAACTTCAAGGACTATATTTTTTTAATCTGATTTGCCCTCCAAAAATTGAGATTATGGCCACATTATATCTTACTATCTGCTGTTTTTTCTCCCCAGTATGTAGCACAGCTAGTCCTTCCCCCTGCTACCCCACTGCAGCTGCTGCCTCCAACACAGCAAAAGGTGTAGAACAAATGGTGCCAGTGGGGAAGAAAAAAAGCAGTGCCAAAAAAAATGGGGGCAATGTGAGAGAGAGGAACAAGGGGAAGCAGGATACAGGTGGTTTGGGAAGCTCCAGGAAACTGCAGAAGCATGAAGGTGCGTGCTGTGTGCTGGGACTGAGCTCCAGAGGGAAGGACAATACTTCACACAGGCACGAACAGCAGTTGCGGGGATATTAGCGTATTTAGTGTTTGCATTGTGAAAGTCAGGATGGCATTTTATGGCTATAAAAACCTTAGCCCTGCCCCAGAGATAGCTTTACAGAACCTGGTTCTATTTCCAACAGGTCTAATACACACGAACCATACGTGTATTGTAACATATTCTTTATAGCTGTCTCTGAAATTTCCCAGGGACAAATGATCTTTTTAAAAGTGAATGGAGCGTGTCAGTGCCATAGGCAAGTGTATCAATATTAAGGAGAGATACTAAATCATCCTCTGACATTTTAAGATGATAGCTACTGGTTTAAATTTAAAAACTAGTCCAGGGACCAACTATTAGAGATACTTGTCACTGCCCCTTTTCAGCTTTTTGTGCTTTGTTCTGGCCGCTGAACTTTTGAAATCTTCTGAAGATAAATTTACAGTCTGTGTCTGCTCAGGGGGAAGGTTATTAAACAAGCAACCCCAAACAATTAAATAAAACCTTAGCTACATGCAATCGCTTTAATTTAGTCCTTTGATATCCTTCATCAGATTAAGTTCCTTCTAAACAAACTGCACATAGCACTTGGCCTAGGAGAAGCGGAATAAGCCCATATGCATCCTGACAGGGGTGTTTACTCGAATGGAGTTATCCCAGCCTCACTGTGCATACTTGGGTCTGAGAACAAGAAGCCAGGGATGCAAAAGGGCCTGGGGACAGGAACTCGGAGAACAATAAGGGTAGAGAAACTTAGAGGAAATAACCTACTGGGAGAACGGGAATGCACTGGGAATAGAAAAATCAGTCAGACAGGAAGAAATCAGATACTGGGAAGATGCCCACGGAGAGGGCACAAGAGATGCTGATGGAGAGAGGTTTGGAGAGGAGGAGCGTGCTGGGAAGGGAGGACAGGGGCTGCCAACATGGCGGGGAGGAGGCAGTCCCAGGGGTGCAGCACCCCGCGAGGGAAAGGGTGCAAGCCACAGAGGGTGAAGAGGAAGAGAGCAGATGGCCTTTATATAAACTTTGACTAGGGAGGCTTTTCTTCAGCCAGCAGACCAATATTTCTGGCTGCAGAAATTTTTTTTCCTTCAGCATCTTGCTGGACAGGAGCAGATGGAGAGACAAGCCTTGACCACCTAAGAAATTTTGGCCACGTTTGAGACTGCCATGTCAGCTACATCAGTGGAAACTCACCTGGCTTCCTCAGCCTGAGGCAGAGCGGGGCTGGCTCGGGGGTCCCTGCCCCTGGCCCCGGGGTGGACTCAGTAGCCCTCTGCGAAGGCAGCAGACAGCGATGACAAGCAGCCGCAGGCAGCGATAACAAGCAGCTGCAGGCAGCAACGCAGCCCTTTCTGCACCAATGGCCCAACCACAGCCCAGGCGCTGCTGGTTTTGACTTGCTACTCATTAACAGGGTTCAGGCAGTGTGGTTCCCTGCCACAGGACCAACGAGGGTCAGGGATGGGGACGCTGTAGCCGTTCAAGCCCTGTGAGCATCTGATCCACATGGGCCTGCTGGGACCTGTGATTCTTCCATGGATGGACCATTCCGGAGGCACTCTGCTAGGTGGGGCCCAGGCAGGCCCTCCCCACTGAGCTGGGTGCAGGGGGATTGCTTCCCCACCCTCCCCCTTCCCCCCGCCCAGGCAGGGCTCCCCACCCTTCTAACCTGTTCCTTAGTTTGGGAGAGGAATAGGGCAGGACGGGTGTCCCCAGCCTAGAAAAGAACAACTTTAGGGGCTTCAAATTTCCCAAGACACTGCAGGGAGGGTGCTGGGAGTGACAAGAGCAGTGGGATGGCAGAGGAGGGGATGCACATCCAAGTCACCCTACAACACATCAGGGAAAATGCCTCAGCACTGGCACCAGGCTTTCCCAGAGGGGACCAGAGGCACTGGTGACGGTCTTGCAAGGCTGAGCAGGGAGGGGAGGCCGGGTGTCCATGCCACCACCCTGCTGCCTGCGTACTGGGCGCAGGTGCTGAGTGTGCAGCCCATCGGGTGGGCATGCCAGGCTGCCGAGGGGCCCCCCGCTGGGGG